AAAGGCAAATACTGCTTACTCAAGGTTTGGTCATCATGTGACTAGCAGCAGACGTTTTGTACAGATGAGAATTGTCAGCCGAAGTTGATTTTGAAGTTACTGAGAGAGAATTGTAAGAAACACTTCATCTACAAACCTTCTTGTAACACTTATGGGAATTCCCGAAGCTTTCAGTCATTTGTTGATGGCTTTGTGATAAGACGAAAAAACATACCGATTCCACTTGAATCTGTATGTATTGGTAACATATCAGAGAAGTGAAGAAAAAAAGAAAAGAAAGAAAGAAAGGAAAGCTATGACATCTATGATAAAAGTAGCACTCGACTTTACAGTTTAAAATATTCATTCTGCATTATTACTTGGAGCTACGAGTTTGTTTTATGTTTGATGAGTTTTGACGCGTACGTTGATGTTTTAATTTGTTCTTTTGTAACATGAATGGGAAAGTAAATGAAGAACATATGCGCGAAATACGTTAGCGTATTCAATTATTTTATTGTAGTTTGATTACCTGATAGCTGAGGAGATATTCCTAGCAAATATTCATTATTATCAAGTAGTGATTATTCTCTAAAGCTGCCTGACACTCTTTGTTTGTCTATTTTTATATCTATAACTGTTTTTTTTTAGTCAAGACAAGAAACCTTGTTTGATTCTAACAAGCAATAGGTGCATCTGATGTATAACAAATTAGAATTATATATGGTACTCTAAAAAGGAGGATCAGCCGACAGCATATTTTGCTTTGATGTATTTTAACAATGTGTTCAGTTTACGGCATCTCAGTTCCGTTCAGTGGAGGCCAAATGTAAAGAAGAAATTAGTCATTTTGCTCGACATAAAACAAATGCAAACAGTGCTCATTAGAAAAATGTTTCAGCTAATGACAGCTGCAAGCAATTATTCTTGTCACTAATGGCATGAAAAAATTGCAATTTGATAAAAAACTAACTATTCGGACTTTAAAGGGGGGAAAACTTATCCAAACGAAAGAAATTCACAGATGAAAACAATATGATGTTGTCAATGGATGGGGCAACCAATGTTTCATATGTTTTAGCGCCACAATGATACAAGAAAGTTACCGAATTGAATGCAGAATAAAGTGGAGTCATTCTTTAGTCCCATGTTTTGAAAAAGGACGGAAAAATAATAAAGCTGTCTCTTAATTAGAGCAATGTTATTGATACAAACGAATATTTGGATAATGCTAGGAAATTGTATGACCTGATATAGCAGTATCAACTTGCTAAGAGGACCAAAAAAATTGCACAAGAAAGTTTCTTTTTCCTTCTCCTTATCCAGTTTTGAAAAAAGAGAAGCATATACTTCATAAGCCATGCTTTTACCCACACTAACGGATATCTTTCCTAGACAAACAGAATGGCAGCTGGCGAGAATATTTTCTTTAATTAAGAACGTACAAATTTTGGTTTTAAATTTTTGAAGATTTAAATTATTTTTGATTTGCAAATAAGCACATTATTTTTGTATTCAATCTTAAACAACTTTTTTCGACTACAGAAAATAGACAGGAAAATTTTTGTCTTGGTTGGTTCTTGCTTTGTCGTTTTCATTTTCACTTAGGCTATTTTTACCGTGCTGGCGGAAGTTCTTCCCTGCTCATTTATTATTCTTTGCTGTTGTAACGTTTGATTTATTAGTTTACAACCCCATGGAGTGTCTTTAACTGATATCAAGTCGGATGTAGAGTGGCAACTGCGATAGCCAACACAATGGCTACTTGAGATTCATGACACGTGACATGATTACTCAAGGAATTCGAATTGAATCTTTGTGAACATCTTGTCAATGCCGAGAACACGCGGATTATATTCGTTATAAATAGTTATGAAGTCAGAATAACAGACACTAACGATCATGAAATATTAATTAAACCAAAACACTTCACTGAATTTTTAAATCCTATCATGAAACGATCTTAGCAAAGTAAACTAATRAACTGAAAAACATTTTTTTCAATACCGAAATAAAATCAGTACAGTGACGACAGTGAATATAACATAAAACGAGTAAAACGGCTTTTTCCGTGCTCGGTTTAGTAATGAAGCACGTAGGAAGTGGCGTAAGCATGAAAGAGTAGTTACGGCGCTTCCTAAGTGCTTTATTCCCGATCGGAGCACGAAATAAGCCGTTTTGCTCGTTTTATGATATAGTCACTGATTTTATTTCGGTATTGAATTTATTTACGCAAAAAGAAAACTAAATGGTCGCAAGATCTGGCAGAATTTCGCGCGCACGGATGGCGTCAGCACTGTGCTCCGTTCACTAATAAAGTACAGTTTTCGACCAATTAGCGCGCGCGTACTATCTTTACTATATAATAATATTTCATAGTGCGACGGTAGTTGTAGCAAAGTTTATTTCACATTATAGTAGGTGAATGATAGTTGGAATTTATTCCTGTGTAATATCATGAACAGTCGCAATCGTTGTACAGTAACAATAGTTGTTCGACTTCCTGTGGCTTAACCTGCATGCATGTCTAATAGAATCTGCAGGCCCAGTGTTTCAACTAATGGAAAAAGRAGATCGTATCTGTTGTTTAAATTTTACATCAGGTTTTTTGTAAAAATATTTTGTATATATCGTATTGAAATCAAAATAGTCTTGTGAATTTATTCTTCTTCTAGGAGTGGTCATCATCTCTATAGTAAACTACATGGGACTGCATAGTGCACTTCATTTAAGACGAGCTTTTTACTTACGGTTATCTAGATTACCTTTTGTCGAGGTTTGTTTGCCTCATTCCTTCTCTGTTGACCATCATTCCTTGCGCGAAAGTTCGCATCATAAAACTGAAAGAAAGAAGCAGACAAACACAAATGAACAAACGTAAACAAACAAAACAATGAGCGATAATGATTGGGGGGGGGGGGACGGGGGGATTAATTGTCGTCGAAGACTAACACGTCCTTTTTAAAAGACTGTGTCGCTAGAACCCAGTCTTTTCTGGATTTGCGGCATGGAACGCCTATTCATTATGGCATGATATGCTTATAATATTTTTCCAAAGAGCCAAGATATTTTATTCTTTAAAACGTTTTGTGAGTGGTATTCTTCAGTCGTGACTGTAATAGAGGGAAATCAAAGTTCATTGTCCAAGATTATCAACAATTACAGTAACTACTGGGTTACAACATCAAAGCTTTTACGACACCAGTAGTTACTGGCTTACAAACATTTATTTACGATTACAGTAATTACTGGGTTACAAAATCAAAACTATTACGACTCCAGCAGTTACTTGCTCACAAAACATGTACAAATGCATGTGAATTTCGTGTGAAGAATCTACACAGAACAAATGAGTATGGAAACAAACATATCTTATAATTCTGCCATACCACTGACACGTGCGTGTTCGGTCGGCGGCGACCCACTCAAAGCCAAAAAATATCTCTTCTGCGGCCAGTGATTGCTTTAAACTTATAAAACGATAAAACAAAACTTCTTTTGAGTAAATAAGGAAAATCGGGTCGAAAAAGGCAGCATAAAAGTTAAAACAGACACTATAGTATTGGTATCACTATACGCTTCGCCAGTCAAACTCTTACGGTCGTCAAGGAATGTGAAGTTGGCTTGCCCATCACGGGCTTGTTGCTATGGGGCAAAATATCACCTGATCAATTGCTGCAAATGGCCTATAAGTACTGGGTTACAACGAACGAGGCGGGTGCCGAGGGGTACTGAGATCCTATCCCCAAGCCCTCTCCTATCTCATTATCATACAGGTTACCCAAGAGCTAATGAAAGTCAAGGCAAGAGAGACGACTGCAGATCGGAGGAGACGGAGTCGTACAAAGGTAAAATGTGTGTGTATAAATTTAGCAATTATTCGCCGAAGGCAAAGTGAATATCGGGGAATATGCGATGCGAGTCTTCGAGCGGCGAGGTAAATATTCTCCATATTCACTGAGCCTGAGGCGAATAATTGTTTTAGCATATACCAACTTGTTATACCAGAGTAACTTATTTTTATACACAATGATTCAATAAAAACAAACAGAAACTTTTAGTTTGCGTGGCAAATTCACGCAAAACGTTTAGCAAAACTTTTAGGCCATACTTCGTTGCCTTTTTAGTATTGATGGAAATGGCATTTACTTTCATTTTTTTCAATTACCTCATCGGAAATTGTAGCAAAACGATGGCCATTTTGTTGCCGACTCAATATTCCGAGATTCAGAGGTGAATATCGTACAATATTCACCTTCAATTAACCAATGAGCGCCCGCGTTCTTAGGAAGTACACAAGTTGGTATATGCTAATTGGTCATAGTCAACAATACAATAGGGAAACAATTATAAAGATTTTGAATCAGAATGCGATGATGTAAACTACTATGACACTTCGCAGACATGCAGGGCAAAATAGTAATTATTAAACAATTGAAAGTTTTTTTAAAATAATATTTTGTGTAACGGCGTACCATGTTGTAACCAAGAAGGCCTTCGGTGGTAATTAATGTTCATTGATCACTAGCCAGGTTTTTTGTTAGCTTTCTGAAGTGCCTTTTTTCATTTTAGCCACTAAGCAAATTAACGTCGATTGGCATATGGGCAGATTGGGAAACTGTTGTGATTGATGGAGGGAATCCTGTAGTCGCTGACTGACTTTCCAACCCAAAACAGAAGATTTAATCTCAAGATTTCTATGGTGCAATTAAAAAAAGTAATTAAAAGAGTTATCATAACTTCATCTTTGCACGGGAATTGAATCAGCAGGATCAAAACAGCAATAGCAATTATAGAGTCAAACTTGAGTCAGGCAAAGTATAAATATGAGATAAAATGGAATCAAACACTGATTGATTTTGAGAAACTATTAGTTATCAGTTAGCACTGTTGACCCATTTGACAAAGGATCTTTTGGAAATAATTAATTCTAGAGTCTAAGTTTGCACTTGATATGGAAGAGAACGCAGTATGTACTTAATGACATTTTCATGACCAACCTTTAATTGTTTGTTGCCAGTTACAGCGTCAGTTGTTGCTGTTGAAAGGAGAAAATTGACGGCCTAATGTTGTGGAGAAAGATTTTAAGATTTTCTCTGTTTTTTCTTTGCATCTGGTCAAATTTTGATTGTCAGTGTTCTGGTGCAATGAAAAAGATCATAGAAAAAGGTAGGGGATGTAGACTAAATCGCAGATTTGATTGAGATTAGGAGTAGATTTTGAACTGAAGCGAGTGGTTCCCGGTGAAAAACTGATGTATTCAATATCAAAATTTTGATTTTAGAATTTCGAAATAGGAGTAGATTTTGATAAAACTTTAAAGAAATATGGATCATATACAACTCCCAATTTACATGAGTATGTGTCCTATAAAAAAAAAGAACTAAAGACTAACAAAAACAAACAACAACAACAACAACAACAACAAACAAACAAACAAACAAAAACAACAACAAAAAAACATCAAAAAAAACCCATCAAAAAACAAAAAACGAACAAACATATAAAAATAATATGGCCGTAGCAAAAACAACCATGTCACAATAATGATGGTTATGATGCATAATATTTTGTTGATGACATAAAACCGTAGCCTTCACGGCACCAACTATATATAAGCGTCTAGTGGGGTAGGACTATTGTGTACTCGAACATTGGTGCACTCGAGGCTCCACCATGCCATTCCAACTGCACTAATGATATGACTATTCTCCCGGGAGGGGGGGTACTCAAAAATATGGACTGTACGGGGATGATCCGCTGAACAGGGTATGGTTTTTCGAGCTTCTTGTCATAAACAGGATATGCAATTTCACTCAAGTTCCAAGTTCTTCCTGAGTTTCCTGTCATATTCAGGGTTTCTACTTATTGACCGAGACTGGTTATTATGGGTGTCAAAACCAAAAAAAAAAAAAAAACCACAATACGCGAGCTGACATGATAATTGAAACAGGAACTCACCGCAATTAATTATACCTTTTGTCATAAACAGGGTCTACAATTTTGTGTTTTATTTTGTCAAAAACAGGGTACCCCTTTCAGAATCCCAGCGGAACACCCCTACCCAAATCCGGGCGGAGTACCCCCCCCCCCCGGGCTATTCTCGTACACTGTGGCCGCTTTGCTTGCTTATTACTACGAGAGGACAAACTACTACTAGAAACCTCTTGTTTAAAGCTTTCCACATCATTACTCGCTTATCCATCATCTTCACTCCTTGGAACGTAAGGCGAGGCACAGATCTTTCACATCATTAGCGTGTTAATAACTGGAAGTTATTTTATTCACAGTGGCATCATATACACCTGAAAAAGAAACAGCATGCGTGATGAGAAACGAGAAACGAGAGAATTTTTTTGAAGCTGCTGACCTCAGCAATGACGTCAACTCTGCAAATCACGTGCTAAGGTCAGTCCCAGTGCCCACTGTGTTATCTTGTGCACTGGAGTGCCTGACCAACTCTGACTGCAAGTCAATACTCGTGAAAAAACATCATCAGAAGAATGGCAGGAACGAGCCCTATGAGTGTCACTTGGTATCTGGAAGAACCTTTCATGTATTGACAGACACTTCAACAGCCAATGACCTTCTGTACTTTGTCAGGAAGGATGCAATATCATGCTGAAATTGTCGGCAAAAGTATAGAAAATATCAGTGTATTTATACGAATAGATCAATTCCCTACAACAGGAACTCTTCACTTTTGGTACAATGTGTTGCTATTTCAGTTAGACTATGCATGTCATTCACCAGAGGATAATTTCTTTGTTTAACGGTTGTTCCTCTTGATACAAGCAAAGAATCTTATCCTCAGAAGAATGCACGTGGTCTGAAATCAAAAAAAGAACGTTACTCCTAAGGTAAAAATGGTTTTSCCAACTATCATAATAATATAAAATAACCATTTATGATATAATTTTAATGTTGCTTAGAACGGATTGTATTGCGCACGATTCAAGCTGTAGTCCTGCCCTTGCGCATGTGCGATGTTCCTCAGGAGACCGAAAATGACGCCTATTATAATATTAACCTATTCTTCTTTAATAAAAACGACCCTTTCCAGACTGTAAGGTGAAAATGAGCGCCGTTTCAATATAATGAAACAAAAAGTTTCACTGTCGTGAAAACTTGCGACTTAATTAATTAACATAATTCTGTTCCTCCAGACGTATAATAACATAAATATCTACATTATATACTGCAATGAATTGTTGTATTTAGTAAATTTTACTTATGACCCGTATTGCAATTTACAGTATGCCGATTTAAGACCGGTTTGATTTTAATTGACATTGATTTAAGTTTACAGTAAAGATTTACGCCACACAAAGGCATTTTAAAAGTCATTGACGAACGTACGATCAAGTGCTGAGTATTTACAACAGTTTCTTTTTTAGGATTTTGCAACCCAGACCACTCCAGGTATCTGAGTCGCTCTTTCAATCAATGGTAAACAATTGGTTACTCAGACCGCTGATATAGTATTATTCCACTGTATATAGATCCCAGATTATAGAAGATTATAGCAGTAGTGTAGTGGTTCAGTTTCCATACGTCCGCCGTTTTGAGCGAACAAAAACGTTTTTGTATTCGCTTTTTTATATATCCAAAATGGCTGCCATGTCTTTTGTTATTTCATCAGTCTTACGAATGTTTGGGTTACCTGTAGTACCGATGTCTTTCCAATTGGTCATATCGTAACTCGCTCATAATTCTTGCAGTTCTCACTTACTCGTGATAAGCTGACATCTCTCCCATAGTCCTTTTCGAGAATCTCACACTTGAGATGTTCGTTTATCTCGCTACTGTCACTTGGCTTAATGCCATCAAGGTTAAACGCTACACATTCCGATTCCCGTGCACATATCGATATACAATGTAATTTGTTCCTGACATTGACAGTTCGGGAGATCTTCACATTTGAGTAACGACATCCACGATGGCTTAAAGTAAAAAAGGTGTTACCAATAGCAGATGTGGGTTGGGAGGTGGTGATGGAAGAGGTTGAGCTCTGTGTAGGACTCACGTTTGAGGTAGATAGAACATACGATGTTGAGCTGTACATAGAAGTTGGGTATTGGGTAAAAGAAGGGCTGTAGGATGTCGATAGACTGTAGGTAGAAGTAGCATAAGCAGTATTCAAATAGCTGCTAGTGGGGCACGGGCTACTGTTGCAATCCTGTGTTTGTGTTCCGACCAGGCTGCTTGGAAGGCACACTAAGCCCAAAAGGCAAACTTTTGTTCTAGTTTGCTTCCCTTTTCCGCACGTTACACTACAATCACTCCAAGAAGACCACCCAACTGTTAAGAGGAAAAAAATACCAGGAGTCATATCAACTTATTTCGGTACTTCTCAATGGCACGCGCGGAATCTGCCGACGCAACAAAATGAGATCTTGGTGAACGTCAATCCAAAAGTTTTCGAGATATATAGTATAGGAAAACACAAAGTTATCAAGGGTACGTGCTTCATAGAAACACCTTGATTGAAGTYGAAACCAAAATCTACTTCGTTACGACGAGGATTCAGCGCAAGCTACTGAGGAGCATTAACTGTAAAGTGTTTGTTGGACTTACAGACTAGAAGCTAACCGCGTTCTGTAGTGCGATGTTCAAGTGTGTGAATTCGAATTTTTCATTTTTTTGCTGAGAAATATTAAATGAAAACGGAGCCCCACTGGGAGAAAAGATAAACTCCTCGAACGGGTCTAGAGATGGGCCATGACCGAGATCAATTGCAGCGATGAGAAACTCAGTTTTGAATGTGCGAGCGAACTTAAAATTCTACATATGGCGAATCTAGTAAGCACTTTATGAGAATCAAAGGCAACAATATTAAAAATAACAAAATGAAACGAATCAAGGCCCGTTAGTCGTAAATAACATATCTAACATTTTCTTATATTCTTTTGTATCTTTAACAGTATCTTCAAATCTTTAGGTGTAACAACTGTTAAATTATACGARAAATACTATTTGAAAGCTATTTTTAGTAACAATATTAAATTCAACTTTATCAGCCATATTTGGATCAGATTATACAACACTTCACATTTTTGTACCGAATAAACCAAGACTTTGGTTTCACATGAAATATTCACCATACTTGGCTTCGTTTACTTTGCTGTATATCTCGAGCAGGTCTTTAGTATTTGTAAAACTAACGGTTTAATCTTCACTCTTGCTCAAGCTAAGAAAGTCTTTTTTCCAGTATTAACTTACCATTACCATTGGTGATCCCAATGCTCACAATCATGAAACAAAAACACACTCGACAAAGAAACGAAGTCATCCACTGTATCATTTCTCAAGAGGTATGGATCATCAAAAATCAAATGGTATATCTCCAAGCTCGAAATAGAGAGAGATATTTATACAGTCTTGGAAGCGAAATGACTGACGTACCGCCCGTTTTACAATTATACGAAGTTTGTGGGTTTGAATGGAAAGAAGGACGTAATGATGTTGGTATCTACATGTGAAATGATTCTTAAGGGTTCTTAATGAACTTTAAATATGTGCAAGATAATCCTTAATTCCGATTGAACTGCAGCGCCTGTTCACACTTTTATCACCAACGGTTTATTTTGTCATTTCAGTGATTGTTGTATTTAAGAAAACACGATAAGAAAGAAGCTAATTGCTGGAAAAAATAGAAGGAAGTATGGAAAAACTAACGAATTCGAAAGGAAYTTATGTTTTCTTTTTTAATGTAAAAATTGGAGGAAAAAAACTAAAAAACTTCAAGTGATTCTTACAAGCACTATTCATATCGTTTTGGCTCACGTACCTGTTCAAACAGTGTATTCCTATAATTATATGTATAATGATTCAAAGGATCCTACCTTAATTAAAATATAATAATATGAATCAAGGCTTAATCAAAGTTTGACAAGTCAATACAATCGATTCTGAATTAAAAACGTCAAATGGTTTTCTATCAAACGAGCTTTAAGTTTTCTCCAGCCAATCAGCATTTAGGTATATTTGAATGAGAGTCTCCACCAATCGGAGATTAGAATCAGTCGAGAGTTTACTTCCGGAAGACGTTTCTAATAGGATCGATACTTAATTATTGTCCAAAAAAGATTACCGAAAACAATTTCCTAGAATGAAATTTCTGCATAAATGCGCAATCAAATATATTGCTTCTATTACCGAGACGGCCGGAAAGCCTATCTGCTTAAATAAGGATCAGGTGAAGTAAGAAAACAGAAAAAAAAAAAAAATAAAATAAAAATAAAAATAAATAAACAGAAAAAAAGAAAAGAAAGAGAAATAGATATGGATGGATATGGATGGATATGGATGGTGGATGGATGGAAGAATCGATGGACAGATGACAAGGAAGGAAAGAAACAAAGAAGGATAGAAAAAAAATCAAGTGAAACGAAAAACAAACACAAAAGAGTGGAACACTCGGAGCAGTTAGTGACAGAACATGGAGAGCATCGATGATGATAGGATAAGATCCTACGTAAACCACTAGCAAAAGATATAAAGATATTTATTTTATCTAAACATTTGTGCTAAAAGGTCATCGCTTTCCTTGCTTATCTATACACCTTTCTTCTTTTTCATTTGTCATTCAAACATCTTCAGCCGACACACGACTGAACTTAATATGGATTAAATCCAATCAACAATCGTCTTTAGTGTCATGGTAACGAGCGGTTGCTGTGGGAACAACTTGTTTAAAACAGCTTCTGCAAACTTCATTTTGCACTTAAGTTTGAATAAAGGTAATTCTAGCCTGTGTTCTAATGAAATATGCTGAAACTAAGTGTCTTTGTACTTGGAGGTCATTATGACCATAATGAATACAGCAATAAATAAATAATGTTTGTTTATTCTTTTTTTCAGCTAACATCGAATTTGGTGCAACAAGCAAAATTGATGAATCGCCTCACTTACATTTCCGGAGCTTTGTCGTTCTCATCCTAAATTAAACAGAGATCTCAAGTTGATCGTAGAAATCGTAGCTTGAAAAGCTTGAAACAAGAACAGCTAGTTAATATCTTAAAATTCATATTTCTTAATGCAATTTTTGTAAGGCCTCGATCGATAGACAGAACGAAAGGAAAAGAAAGTAAAAATAACCAAAAGATGAATGAAAGAAAGGAGAAAAATAAAAGAAAGAAAAAGAAAAGAAAGAAAGGAGAAGAAAAAATAATTTATCCAGTTAAATTTTCATTGCCAGTTTTTTCGATCGACTGATATATTTGTAAAATTCTCGGCATGTAATAAACGAAATTACTGAATGTGCGAAAATAGAATTTCTCCGGCGAGTAAAATTGATAATGATTGGGCGATCATAAAAATTAGTCCACTTACCAGTAGGTCTTGAACTACAAACTTTCCCCATCAAAAAAACAACAAATATACAAAAACCCAACGAAAAAACCGATCCATTTCTTATCGTACAATATCATTATACTGAAGTGTGTGGGAACTAATTCGCAACACTGAAATGTACAGCGAGTCAGTGAGGGCCACAGTGGACTGAAGAAAGCTAAGACAGATCAACAGTTGAATCAACAGAGTCATACTGCAACTACTTGGGAAGTAGTTATCGCTGAAAGTAATCAAGCTCGACAATGAAGTTTAACATGTCCCGTTTTATCGTGTCAATGACTGCAGATTGTCGAAATTTGAGTCGTCAAAACTGACAAAGTCTTGCGTTGGGTCAATACTACGGAAAGTCACTTTGTACAGGATATGAATTTTGGGTTTTGATGTTGACAAAGGTTGATAATCAAATTGTTTATGGTATAGATGTATAACCAGCAGAGATTGAAATGATCGTAAAAAAGTTTATATCTTATTCTTATCTATGGATTGGTTTGTCAAGCTGCGTAATAAAAAGTCTAGATAAAAGTCTTCGAATAAAATATGATAGCAAAAATGGACTGGTTTAATTATCAAATCAATGATTTGCAATCGTTTGCATATAAAGGAAACTTAACGTTTTTATTCAAGTAGAAAAAAAACATAAAATAGACCCACTGTTTCCTCATTTCAGATTATGTGTAATTCCCTTGAGTAGTACTTCCCGTTGCTTAACTCTAAAGCTTGAGAAGATACCTGAACGCGGAGCACAAAGCAAGAATCTTATTCTTGTGTGAATGACAGGAGGTTTGAAATGACAAAATATTACCGACCAAGTGAATTGGATCTATTGTTAACACTTCCCTTCCATCTTGTCAAATGTCAGCTCTTCAAGTATGGCCTCAATTCAACATTGCTAGATATATATTAACATAGTGATATGAATTAACCACACAATTTGGGCGCCACAAATAGAATTATTTAGCTTGGGGTAGTCGGCTTTACCAAATTCAGATCACGTATCATTCTCTTGAGAATTATATTCGGCCTTGTTTGAGTTGTATCCATAATTCATGTACCTTCTCATGCACAACCGTTAAACAAAGAGATGATGCTCTAGAAAATGACAAGTGGTCTAAAATAGGAAACCATATACACCAAGGTAAAGAGTTATATTGTTATGCTAACGCCAACTCGTCTCTCAAACGTGGTAAGCTTGAAAGGGCGTGGCCATGGTCAAGATGTAAAGTTGCCAATGGGTGATTAAGAAGTGAAGATGATGGCGTGATTGTTGGATGAATGATGGTAAATTGATAAATAAATCAAAGCCTTGGTTATCTACACCAATTAAGGATTCTAAACCCTTTAAAAAACGTAGCACGTGCTATATATATATAATTATATATACACATTTTAAATTCCAGGCTGTTTGAATTAAACACGAGTGATACCAGGCACTTGCAGTGTTTCTAACTTTGGATTCCTTGTCCTATCGAACACCAAATCACTTTCTAGAATCCAGGCCTTTTGTTGTAACAAATTACGGATTCCTGACCTTAGCTCAAGTATGCAGAACCTATATTTTCCAGATCTATATTTTGTCAGTGTTCGTTGGGTTGTTACTCTAATAGGACCTATGCATAATACTTTAAGATAACATTTTAAACAGGGCGCGTACAACTTTTGTAAGGTAAAATTCAAGGACTTTTTAAGGCTAAATATTCATTTTTCAAGGACAGAAATTATGTACAATCAACACTGTTTTAGARCCTCCTGTTTTTTTATGAAGTTAAAATCCCACGAAAAAGTTAACGTCTTGGATGGAGTGGAAAATCCCTGAGGTAGTGTCGCGGAAATCTCGAGTGAAATTGAAATTGAATGGAACTGAAGCCATGCTAATAAAATTCCTTTGCCTTCACGGGCATTTTCCAGGCATTTTCAAAAACTTATGCATCTATCAGCAACAGCTTCACTTCATCTTTTAAGTAATGACGTCTCCTATTTTATCTTATAGATTCCTGATTCGAAGACTATAAAAACAGCCACGATTCACAGCCAAGTCTAGTGGTGACGTYAGGTGTGATAGAGCATTAATCTGACAGATGCCACGCCCCTCAARCTGTGGATCCATATCATTGGTCGAGCAGAAGTTAAAAGACTGGCAGTTGTTAATCCGAATACAAGCAAAAGCACATTGTATGCTGTTTTTCAACTTAAGAATTTTGATCACGCTGTTGAATAAAGCAACGCCTTTTTGGTTTGAAAAATAAGCGTTATATTTGTCTGGCAATAGCTCTGATGATGGAGTTGGTGATGATGATGGTGATGAAAACAAAGTTGGCGTAGGCGATGCCGTTTCTTGTGTTGACAATGGTGAAGATGTTGGTGATRCTTGCGTTGACATTGGAGGAGATGATGATGACGATGTGTAAGGTAAAGGTGATGCCTGTATTGACATTGATAGTGATGATGATGATGATGGTAAAGGGGATGCCTGTGTTGACATTGGTAGTGATGATGATGATGGTAAAGGTGATGCCTGTATTGACATTGGTAGTGATGA